GCAGCAGCAGCCTACCTACAGCTCCCAGCATGCCTTGCAGCAGCAGCCTACCTGCAGCAGTGAGCTCCAGACACTGCTCTTTGTTGAGTCCTGGTTTGTAGTTGGAGTCCATGAAGCCGTAGATGTAGGTGCTGCCGCTGCCGCCCACCGACACCGGCTGCCTCACCAGCATCCCACCAATAGGAACGCAGTACACCTGGCACAGGCAACAGACACACAGGTGAGCAGGGAGGCAGGTAACACAGGTATGTGACTGCTACATCTGGTGGCCCAACAAAGAAGTACAGGAAAAAATAACACTTAAGTTTTACAGTCTGTGCACAGGTGTGAGTACAGGTGTGTACTACACCAGGTGTGTGAACAGTGCTGTGAAGGAGTCCAGAAGAAGAACACATCAACATCTCATCCAGGAGTCTCAAGAACCCAGAGGAGCACCAACAGATGTGCAGGACTCGGTTCAGGTCACAATAAGGTGACTCTGGACAGAAACGGATCCATAAAGATCAAACCACTACTGACCAAAAATAACATCAAGACTCCTTTTGAATTTACTAGAAAACATCTGGATGAGTTTCAAGACTTCTGGGAAACCATCCCGAGGACTGATGAGTCCAAGGTGGAGCTTTCTGGAAGACATGGGTCCAGTTGGTTCTGGTGTCAGTGCATTCAACAAGAACATCATGAGACCAGCAGGGAGACATGGTGGAGGTAGTGGATGGTTGGAGGACCTGGATGACTCGTCACAACTGTTGGAGACATGGACTCCGCTCTATCAGAAAGTCCTTCTGGAGAATATTCACCACCAGTTCAGGACCTTCAACACAGATGGGTTCTGAGTGGTCCAGGAAGAACTGAAGCAAGATTCTGGAGCGGCCGAGTCAAAGTCCAGACCGGAATCCACCTGGGATGCTGAGACCTTAAAGGACAGCTCATGATATAAAACCATCTGATGTGGCTGAATCAGAACTGTTCTGCAGAGCAGAGTGACCAGCGTTCCTCCATGGAGGAGTAGAAGATCAGGAGCTGTCACCAGCGTTTAGCTGCAGCTGATGGTGCCCAGAAACCAACCCGGTACCAGGGTCAGGAGGAGTCACTGCTTCACAGCGCTGACACAGGTTCTAAATACTTCTACAGTAAAGCATCATTTAAAAACAGTACTTTGAGTTTTGGAGGTTCTCTGTCTAATATTAGATAAATATAAACATTAGATTGATGATCAGAAACATTTAAATGTGACAAATGTGCAAAACCAGAAGACATCAGGAAACACTTGTTCACAGTAACGTACAGGTGAGTCTACAGGTAACGAATGACAGCCAATCACAACCATTGTTTACAGCAGAGGAGAGACAGAACACCTGAGACTGCTGAATGAGCAGATCTGTTTGTTAGGAGGCAGCAGATGAAGTCTCAACAGTCCCCAGTATTACACAGACACCCACAAGTCACTTCTAGGTGATAACATGTGGTGCAGCTGACATGCTAAGCTAATGCTAACACTAAGAGGTTAGCTGGATCTGAATCTGCTGACAGTGATAACCTAATGCTAACACTGAGAAAAGTTGAACAGCTTTAATGTGCAGCTGTCAGTGATTGCTACAAATTCCCTGCTGGCAATGGGGAAATGGCGGCCTCTGGTGGACAACTTGTGCCTTGAAGCCTCCCTTAATTAACCAACTCAACACAAGTGTGATGCAAAGGGCTGGGTCCACACATTGAAGGCTGGCTGTGAACACCTCTTACCGATATCCATGTGTAACTAACTGAGGAAGACGAATTCTGCTTTATTTCTGGGGGAGTTTAATTATTGGTTGATGTTTATTATTACATTTCCTTCTGTTGATTAGTTACTAATTACGTGTTTGGGTTAGGGCTGCACAATTAATCGAATTTTAATCACGATCACGATGTTGGTTTCCTGCAATCGAATTTGCGTGATCGAGCGTTCACTGAGAACGCTGATGAACACCTGCTGATGTCTCTGACTGGGTTCAGGTTTAGTTGAGCTGCTAACATGAAGAAAGTCTGGATCTGTTGAACTTTCTCTGTAGTAAAGAGCGTTGGTGTGTATGACAGGTGTGTGTACAGGTGTGTGTACAGGTGTGTGTACAGGTGTATAGTCAGGTGTAGAGTCAGGTGTGCTACCTGGCCTCCCTTCCTCCTGTCCCAACCTGCCACCAGGATCCCAGCAGTGAGCTCCTCTCTGTAGCGGTAGCAGCTCGCTCTGAACAGATTGCCGGCCGTCTCCACCAGCGGGGGCTCGTCCAGCTCGATGCTAAAGGGGCGGGACCACATGTACAGGTGAGTGTTAGCCACACCTGACTGGACAAGGAGGCTGCCAATCAAACGGTGTGTGAGTCTGTCACCTGTGGAAGCCCAGCTGGTAGGTGACCACGTCAGCGATGGCCTGAGTGTCAGCGGCTGATCCAGACCTGCAANGGTGGACACGTGTTTGCAGTCCTCCTGTACAATCATTCAGTGAGTGGCCAAAGATATTTTTGTAGATAATGTTCGTATGAAGTCCCACCTTTTAGACGGTATGCTCAGCTTTTTGAAGTATGCTCGGGCATTGGAGATATTTTGGCCTAAACTTTGGGTGTTTTAACAGTTTTCACTGTCGGGTGAGAGGCGGTCTGAGCTCACATGACTGGTGATGGAACTGGTCGTAGGAGAACCAAACATGGACAATAGATTGTCTTTGGGTTGGACAACGTTCACTGAACATATGAAAAGATCTGGTTGAATTCTTACAGCAGTAGAGCTTTATACTTCTGACCAATTTTTAGTGATTTTTGTTAAAAAAAACAACAAGGAGGTGACTGACTGCCCGGGTTTGACCAGATGTCCTGAAACTTAGACTGAAGCAGGTTTGGGTGGAGCCTTCAAACTGGTCAAGTTTCTCTGAAACCAGTGAGATGTCTTGTGCCGCCTGGTCCTACTGTGGATGCACTCTTAGTGCTCAGCGTTCTTCACAGAATAAAGTGAAAATGACCCATAATGACCTGGAATGATAAGGGTTAACTGATCTGCAGTCAGTTTATGACCCTAAACTATCTAATCTTCATCAGGAGTCACAGATTCTATATTTAAACTACATGTTTTCTCTTGATGCTGCTCACAGAAACACTGATCATCCAGCAATAGGACGAGTTCAGGGACCTGCAGGTTCGGTTCCTCTGGCTCTGAGCAACTTTCAGGTTCTTCAAACATTAAACTCAGTCACATCGTTCAACAGGAACAAACCTTCAGGTTTCATCAGGCTCAGATTCAGGATGTTGTTGATCGATAAAGAAAAACAAAGAAAATGAAACGTCTGTAGAATCTCCTGCAGCTCTGAAGGCGGATCAGAGCCGATCACCCTGATTGATCCCTGATTGATGATGTCATCAGAGCCCGAACAGCTCCAGTAAAAGGTCACAGAGATCTGAAGGGAGGCCCCGAAGATTAAACCGGACTTAAACTCATATGTAAACCTGAATTAAAATCAGATAAAACTGGGAATAAAAGAATTAAAATGGATGAAATCTGAGATGGAAATGAAACTAAAACAGAAACTGAAAAGTAAATTTAACTGGATTAAAACAGAATTCAGATTTTATGGATTGAAACTCTGATGTACACTGGATTGAAAACCAGGTTTAACCTGCTAGAGACTGATTCAAA